ATTTTAATAATTTTTATAATATAGTTAGAATACTCATTTTCTGTCTGTATATCATCTTGAGGGTTGAGACTTAATACAAAATTAGAAGAAATTAAAGTTTCTTTCCTGCTTTTAATTTTGCTCCTTTTTCACTAAAAAATTTACTTACGTAAGATTAATTAATTTCATTTGCTGTTATTGAAGGTCTAAATGTTGTAGAGTTACCGTCTCCGTCTCCGTCTCCGTCTCCGTCTCCGTCTCCATCTGACGATGCTGAAAGGACAAGAAAACTTGAAATCTTCAAAAGACAAGGTATGGTATATATTTGTTACCTATATATATTGATTCAAACGGCAGTCAGTTTGCGCTTTTTTTTTTTTTTTTTTGGAATATGGAAAATTTTGCGGGGAAGGATGTAAATTTACAAGTAGTTAGTGGGGACTAGAACTTTCAATCACTTGAATCCAAACTCTTAAATTTAATAGTGAATTATTTGATCCATTGGCTGTTTCTAATTAATTTGCTCTTTATTCACAAATTAAGTGAGCAAGAGTAGCTATTCCATAAATATATATTAAGCCAACATGAACGGTGTTTGTTTGTTTGATATATTGCAGTGGCATTGGTTGAAGTATTGGGTGGAAGATCTCTTATAAGGCTTGGTATGTGACGTCTTCAACTAACACTACAAGAAAATTTACATTTAGTGACTAAATTATTAATCATTAAATTTTTATTTTTCATCACAAATTATTATTAATGATAAAATTTAAACCGTTAATAAAACCCTTATCACAAATGCTCTTAGTGATAAATTAGACACATGTCATAAAAAATAATCTTATAGTGATAAAAAAAATTGACATTGTTAACAAGTTATTTATAACAATTTTATTTGTCACAAAAAATTATTTTTTGTTACAATAATTTTCATCACAAATGTTACAATTGAATGACCAAAAAAAGTCACAAATGCAATTATGATGAAAAATTTAGTCATTAATTATTAAAATTGATATTAAATAAAAAAGATATTTATATAATTATAACACAAATATTGTAACAAAAATTGTCACAAAAATAATATATAAATTTATCACAAAAGTTTAATAAAAAATATTATTATTTTAATACTAATCAATTTTAATTAAAATTAATCAAGCCCGATTAAAATTAATCAGGCCCAAATTAATCTCAAGTCTTATTGAGCTTCACATGTTTTATACTGCAAAAATTTATTTTCTTAAATATTTCTTATCAATGTGGGATATATTTATAATGCAAAACTTTATTCTCTTATGTGTTTTTTACCGAGGTGGAATGCACTGATTAGAGAAAACTGACAACTTTTAGTAACGAAATATATTTTTAGTAATGAATTATTTTGTCATCATTGAATGTGTAAGGTATATGTGACTAATATTAGAATTCTGTCATAATTGTAATGCATTATAATGATAATTTTTATCGACAAAAACTTATTTTATCTTTATGAATATTTTTCGGTGACGAAATATATTTTTTATGATAAATTTTTTTGTTCATTATTAAATATGTATGCATCTGTTACTAATTTTTTAGATCTGTCACAATTGTGATAAATTATAGTGATGATTATAAAATTCATCACAAATTTCTGTCACTAAAAACCATTTTTCTTGTAATGTAAACCTTTTTTTATCATTCTTTAAGCAATTTCTCCTTATTCTTTGTCTTGACTTGGTGTAGGAAAACTGAGGCACATATATTATCTGAAATTAACCCATAGTTATGCGACTTTGGTTCTGCGTCACTGGTGCAAGGAGATATCAACGTACACGGATGCCAAACAACTTGTTGACAGTGGAGCAATCTCAGTAATCTACCAAGCAATTAAGGATGGCACATTGGAGATTGTGGTTGAGATTCTTAAAGCAAACCCAGATTTAATTTGGTGCAATGAAAAGCTTACAAGAAAAATGATAATCATGGCAATCAAACATCGTCGAGGTAGTCTTTTAACATTTGGTTACAACCTTGATGCGGGGAAGAAAGCACTTCTCTCTTTAAGAGATAAAGATGGAAACAATGCGTTGCATATGGTAGCCAAGTTACCTGTCTGTCCTTATGATTCTGTTGGTATCCACGCAGCTTGGAGCGTGATACGCGAAGAAAGGTGGTTTGAGGTTGTCAATAAACTCTGACTTCATATTCCTTTTCTCTAATTAACAGCGGAATATTCTATATTTCTTACATCATTTTATTTTACGGTATAAAATTAGAAAGAAGTAGCAAGGATTATTAAATCTCTTGGTGGAGTCGTAAGTTTAATTTGGAATAATTGCTGAGCGTCAGTAGTAATAAAATGATTTGTTTTTCTGGAAAAGATTT